GCCTGGGAAACAGCCTCTCTCACATGGTGCCATGGCTGGTCTGGAGACCATGCTCCTGGCCAGGCCTCACTGGTACACTGTTCTGTAAACATCTCATTGTCAGACTGTTAGCACTGGAGCTTCCAGCTCTGGCTCCGGGTCACTAACTATGGCCTGTACTGAACATCCCAATGTTTGCTAGACCTCCATGCCCCTTGAATCCCAGACTCTATCTTCCCTTATGCTATGCAGAAATACCTTGTTGTCCCACAGACAAAGGAACCACAGTGAGAAGGGAGCACAGGGGATCTGCTTAGTAAAACCAAGATGGCACAGCCTTGCCAAGCAGCAAGACATTGGTGCTGCCAAACACTCCACAGCCTCCAGGACTGGAGGACTGAGAGGATCCAGAAATTGAATCGACCCTGCATCCTCAAGACACTGTACTGCATCCCAGGGAGGCTCCTGACTGCTCTGAGCTGTGTGAGTGCCACTCCTGAAGGGATGCAGGGCTATGAAAGCCTGCTCATCAAAGCTGCCCATCAGCTCACTGCAGTTCCTCACCAGGATAAACAGAAAAAACCCAAACATTTCTTTCAGGGAGTGGAGCTGAACCGCTCTCTCTGCAGCTGAGCTGTGCCTGGAAAGGAATAAAGACTGCCTGAACTCCTTGCCTGACCCAAGAGTGAAACTCTGCAGACTAAAGAAAGAGATAGGCTAGGCTGTGGGTCTCTAAAATACTGCTTTTTTCTGAAATAAACTAGGTTTGTAATGTTTTATAATATAGATTAAAGACCACTATTGTGGTTAGTCTCTCTGTCAATGTGTCACAAATTGAATTGTCTGAGTAAGGAGGTTCACCTGAAGAATTGTTCTGTCTTGAGGGATGTGGGAAAATGTACTCCAAGTGTGGGTGGCCCTGTATGGCATGAGCCAAGGTTAAAAGTGTGTGTCAGAGGGAAGACCATTCTGCCTCAGGCTTGGTTGGCCTTCCCTCATGTCTCTGAGTTGTTGTTCTGTTCCTCCTGCTGGAGCTGATTCCCTTGCTGAGAGCAGGACCAACAGTTCTCTAGGAAACTTCCAGACTTCTGGAGACACATTGGTACTAGTGACAACTGCCTATGAACTAACAACCAGTTATGACCTCCAGTGAGACAGCTATGGTGAGGCTTACAGGCTCAAGTACCAGGCAGAATACTTGGTCTTAGCATCTCCCATGTGATTTAGGGTATTTTACTACTTTAAAGCTGACTTAATAACTTCTAGCAGTATATATGTACTGCTAGCCTCAAAAAAGAACTTTACTACTGATGTTCACAGGTAGATAAAGAACACAACATCTATGTTTGGAACTTCCTCAGGAAGCAGAATCCCAGGGAGCTGAGCATCATCTAGTCTATTTCTGTCTAACAAGGGCTATCAAAAAGAGAAGCAAGTGACTTGGTGTGTATATGAGAGAGGTTGGTCCCCTACCAGGGACACAGGCTAGCACTTTGGGAGGGTGAAAATAACTCAGAAAATTGGTGAAACTCAGTGCAAGGAAGCTTGGTTAATTGTTCATTTTCTCACCTCACATCCTTTCTCTCAAAATAATTAATCCCTCATTAAGCTGGAAATTACTTATGAGCAAAACAGATGCTGTAACTGTGGGAGAGAGGGAAGCTGTACTTCAGGGACTGAGGCCCTGCAGTGGCCTTTCTTCCCCCTGACACTGTGACAATATGAAACCTGAAGTCTGTAGTACTTGATGGCATCCAAGAGCCCCACAGATCCAGACAGTACAAATATGACCTGGCAAGTGTCACCTTCCCAAAGCTGCCCCAGAGCCTGTCTGCACCACAGAGGTCCAGGTGAGTACATGGAGGTAGGATCTTAGATCCTCTCAGCTTTGTCATGAAGAAATTCATTAAGCTGAAGCCTTTCTCTGACTAAGCCAGGGAGTAGTTGAGAGGCTCTGTGAGCCTTGGGCCCTCCACATTCCTTCTGACCCTGACAGGTCTGGTCCCTGGGTTTAGAAAGATCAAAAGAGACAAATTCCTGAAGATACAGAAATGGGACAGAAATGCTGAGGGACTGCAGAGCATCCTCAGGCTGGAGTCAGGACAGAGCTCTAGGTAGATTTCGAGGTTACCTCCTTATCTTTTAAAAGGATTCAGTAAGACAGAGAAGATTTTCATATGTCTATCAAATCCTGGAGACAACCATAATACACTCTATTAAGATGCATACTAGAGAAATTGTCACAAGATCATTGTCCAAGTGTAGCCTGGTTAACACAGGGAAACTCTGCCTCAAAAATAACGACAAAAGAAAAGAAAAACTCTTTTTATTAGCCTCATGTTTGCCAGTGTTGTGGCTTCAACAGTGTCGCTGGAGTTTGTAGGTTGTACTTTTCAGTTTTGATGCATTTCCATTTTCGAAATACAGGCATGTTTTTTTTTTACAATAACATAACTCCTAAGTTCATGGTTTTCCTTTTATTCCTATCCTTGAAGTCTCTGAATTATATCACATAATATTATGTACATTTATTAACTATAGTCATTGTATGACTGCTAGCTATAGAAAAATATAAGCCACTAAGTGTACTAGTTACTCTCACCATCTTGAGAATTCCTGCTGTTAAGGATCCAGGCTGTGAACTAGTACATCCTGAAACATCTCATCTTAACTTTATCCCAGTGCTAAGCCGCGAACAGCAATACTCTCTTTGTTATTTGCTTACTTGCTTGCTTGACTGTTTTAGAAAACCAGCATGAAAGGATATAGCCTGCCTAAAGCTCTTGGAAAGACACACCATTTATGGTATCATCCATGTATCTAAACACAAGTTTATCCTGTGTTTTAAATTAATTTTTTATAGCATTTCTCAAGATAATCTGGAAGATGAGTCGCCCCTTCCATCTCTGAAAATCCATTTCTGTAGAAAGGAATCATGTATTGGAATATAATAATCTGCTCTCAAATACAATTTAAAGTTTGGAAAGGGTACTAGAAGATGGGAAAAGCAAACATTAAATGAGCAGGAGAATGTTAATATTTTCTGGGGAGATGGGGTGAATTATTACAGGGATTTTGACAGATTCTACTCTCTTACTGATCACTAAATACCAAACATGTTAATAAATGCTGATGTACTTGGTATTGATGTCTGAGACATATTTCATTAAGTACAGAGATTTAGGATAACACTGGGATATCTAGGATGCACAGATACAAATGATAATTACCTCTTTGGCAGAGGAGCTATTGAAAGGCAAATTAAAGTCATGAGGCCACCTAGACCCAAATATAGCATCAAGACTAGGTTCATGAGAGTCGCACTTTAAATCACCAAGGCAGACATAAAAGCAATCCTGTTATTTTAACAGGAAGTAGATCAGGGAACAGAGGCATTCCAAGTACTCAGAATATAAGCAAACCCATAGAGACTCTGAAATATTCAGATGTCTCTTATTTTAGAAAAGGTGTCCAAAGCTTACCATAAATCCCAAGTAATGACAGTGGAATTCCTGAACATGAAGAAAACATCTTGTAGAGGTCTAAGTCCTGGAATCAGCATGGACTGATGTAGAACAAAGCAGCCTGCCTGACAAACAGGTTGGAAGAGAAACAAGAAGAGAAGCAGTCTGTAAAGCAAACTGACATAACTGCTGCTCACAAGGCCCCACAGAGACAAATGCTACCATGACCTCTTAGCTGGGAGAGTCCCTACTCATGACTGTATCCCCCAACATATTGTATGCTTCTGCAGGCAGCCATACTGAGAATCCTTAACTCATAAACTACACTCATCAAATGGCATCAGCTAACACCTGATGAATCCCCTTCTCCCATCCCCCTTATCTGCAACAGTAGGTCCATGGCAGCTCCATGCTTCCTTAAGTGCTCTGAGGTCAGTCCTTGGGGTCAGAGATGCCCCGAGTCTTCAATTGGGATGACAGCTCTATGCTAACCACCATACTAGGAAGCACCACAGCATTCCTCTAAACACCTTCCCAGGTTGCAACCTGGTGGTTACATAAATTTTTCAACGTTTCTTTTGATGATTCAGGGTTAACTATATAGCTAAATTTGGAAAGGTTAAGCTATTTGACTTGACGTTGAGGACTAACATTAAAAGGGCCAGTGACTGAGATGTAAAGTGAATAAGTAAAATAATAATAATAATGATGATGATAATAATAATAAAAATAATTAACATGCAAAAATAACTAGTGAGCATTTATGTAGAGTGAAATCATAGAATGGTCAGTATATAAACTTTTAAAATATAAAATGTAGATATTGGGGCTTGTGAGATGGCCTAATGGTAAGAGCACTGGTTGCTCTTCCAGAGGTCCTCAATTCATTTCCCATCACTGAAATGGTAGCTCAGAACCATCTATAATGGGATCAGATGCCTTCTTCTGTCATGCAAACATATGCAGAAAAGCAGAGCACTCATATACATAAATAAACCTAAAGAAAAAACATGTAGAAATTGAAGTTTTGAAGCAAATGCAAATCTAGAAATTGTTATTCTAATGAATATGCAAGAGAGAAAGAAATATTGAACATAGAGGAGATAATATGAAAGGTATTATTAACTCTGTCAGATGTTACAGGTGTTGAGCGGCAGAGTTTCCCAGTGTCTGTGTGCGATGCGGGTAAGGCAGACAGGTTCAGCATGAGCCTCGGGCTTTGAGAATTGGGTGGAGAAATATGAAGGAATACAATGAGGAACAGGAAGAAATTTTGGTTGGGGAAACTTGGAGTTCAATTTAACTATGCTGATAGCTAACAAGGACAATGCACACACACACACTGACACACACTCACACACACATTTGAACAAGTCATTTTGCTATTGTAGAGCTAAAAATAAAAATCTTCTTTAAAACTTGAGATTTGAATAGTCATTATAAAACTAACCTGTCAGAGCACACATAATATTCCAGAGTCCACAGGGAAAGGACGAGTTTCAGGGACCTCATCTGTCACATTACATGTGTTCTTGGCTGCTTCATGAATTCCAGAAAATGCTATTATGTAAAATGTTTTTCAGATCCATGTCTGGCATTACTAATATTTTCTTGAAAAAGTGTTTACATCCTCAAAAGAAATTTTCTACCTAGGAAGTAAAAATGATTTTGCAGTTTATTAAGGAAACATTTTTTCTCCTCATGACTGTGTTTGGCATTCTGGGAAACATGTCTGTTTCTGTGAATTATATGTTCAGTTGGTGGGGAAGCCCTGAGAAGAAACCCATACACCTTATTCTCACTCACTTGGCTTTTACAAATATCATACTTCTGCTTTCAAAAGGATTGCAAAAGACAATAATATTTTTTGGTTTGAGAAACTTCCTGGATGACATAAGCTGTAAGGTCATTGTTTACCTGGAGAGGGTGGCCCGGGGCCTCTCCATCTGCACCAGCAGTCTCCTCACTGTGGTCCAGGCCATCATCATCAGTCCCAGAGCATCTGGGTGGAGCAAGCTCAGGCCAAAGTCTGCATGGCACATCCTTCCATTCTTCTCATCCTTTTGGATATTTAATGCTTTAATAAGTATGAACCTAATCCATTCCATCAAAAGTATAAGCCTGAATATGTCACAGCTTAAGAATGGCAATAGCTATTGTTACTTTACACTAGAAAGTCAGAAAATAAAATGGATTGTTCTCCCTCTCATGGTCCTGAGAGATGCAGTGTTCCAGGGTGCCATGGGAGGGGCCAGTGGCTACATGGTGTTTCTTCTCCACAAGCATCACCAGCATGTCCTCTATCTTCAGAACTCCAAGCTTCTCTACAGAACTCCCCCTGAGCTGAGAGCTGCTCAGAGTGTCCTCCTTCTGATGCTCTGTTTTGTTTTCTTCTACTGGAGTGATTGTGCTCTTTCTCTGTTTCTAAGTCTGTCATTAGGAGACAGTTCCTTGATGATAAATATTCAAGAGTTTCTGACCCTTGTTTATGCAATCCTCAGCCCCCTTGTGCTGATTCACAGGGATGGGCTTATACCTGAATGTTGGCATTCTAAGTGAAGAGAAACTAAGAAAATATATCTCTCTTATTAAGTGTGAAAGAACTCTCAGTTCTGCAATATTGTGGGTAACACAAAGTCTCACAAACAGTTTAAGCATGTGGTTATTCTCAAACAATCTCCCTGGTGACTCAAATCTTGCACTGAGTGTAGTCTTAGCAAATTATAATGCTAAGGAAATTTCATTCCTATATATTGCTACCTTTTTGAAGGGGCTTTATATTTTTTAACTTTTCTATATTTGTGTTCATTTGTTGTGTATGAATAGTTTGCCTACATGTATGGAGCCTGCAGCTGCTGGGAAAGATCATCAAATACCCTTTGACTGACTGGCATTAAACAGATGGCTCTGAAAAACAATATGATTGTTAGAAATTGAGCCTGTGCCCTCTGGAAGAACAACCATCTCTCTTAACTGATGAACTATCTTTCCAGCACCAAGAAAGTAGCTTTAATTAGGATTTTAAAATCTGGTTTTATTACTACCATGACTGGAAGCATGCAGGTGATTTTGATAGATCTTATCAAAATTCATAGTGATTAAATCATGTTTGTCCAATCCTGACCTTGTGCTTGCTAAATGTTAATACAATGAGGCTGTTTTAGGCTACTTCAAAGTGTCTGTACATATCCATCTCCAGAAAAGATTTTACAAGACTGTGAAAGAATGACATGTTCTGTACATTTAATCAAGAGGGACCCAACGCACCAGTCACAGAGCTTAAATGTCCTGAAACATTTCATTAGTGTTATATTCTTGAAGGTTCTCTACAGGAATGAAGACTGCAGAGATGGGCTAAAGTAGTTAACAAATAAACAGTGAACTTTCATTTAATATTTGTCTATGTTGATTAAAAAATGTGATTAAAAAAAGGCAATTGCCTTTTGTAAGTGACTGAAGCAGACCAAGGCTGTTTGCAGCTGCCCTTTGTTAATGCCCAAGTGCGCTCCACGGCAACATCTAGCTCTATCACCAAAGAGCTGCAAAAGGATCTGATAATGATGATGATGCTTAGATGTACCAGAAAGAAAGAAAAGATAAAGATTAAAGATGTCATTGCTGTGAGAGAAAATGCCCAGATACTGTTGGAGACTGCAGAGAATAAGTGCACACAGACACTGTGGTCCAAAGGTCATTTAAGGTCACGTGTCCTCTCCCACCCTGGCCTGGGTAAAAAGAGCAGCACCTGTGATAGTGGATCCAGTGCGCTGCTACACAGGACTCTTCATTGTCTGAGGAGCAGTGGTGTGGGAGGGGCTGTTAACATTATGTTAGAAATGCTTCCCTTCACTTTTACCCCATTACTCGGGCATTCCTTGTCTGTTATTAGAATTATACTTTAGGGCTAAGCAGGACTGTTTTCCTCTGTATTCCAGCACTTGGGAGGACTGCAACTTTGAAGCCAGTCAGTTCCTACTTGTGAGACTTTGTGTCTTGTGTTTCTTTAAAGGAAAAAAAGAATAAAATGGATATATGTCCTTGCACATGAATGAAACTTCCCTAATTTACTGAAACAGATGCATATCAAGGTGTAAGAATCACAGAGAATAAGAAAATAAATACTCCATGTCATTAAGTAGACAAAATACCAAATGTTCAGATTATAGAAAAGTTATTGAAATCTTCAAGACAGAAAAAAAAAGTTACTTTTTTTCATTGTCTTCTATAATTTTATTTTTTTGTTTTGATTTTTCATTTTTTTTTACTTTATTATTTATTTATTTATTTTTTCAAATTGTAATTTTTACTTATTCACACAGGGGTTATAAACACAAAAAAGGCAGGATGTGGGGAAGGGAATGACACTGGAACGTGGGTGTTCAGGGGGAATACAGATATCTTTCAGAACAGGGTATCCACTGGGTGAAGGTTCAGGGGACAGGTCACTATGACTCTGCCTATGATTCACTTGTCCTTATCTAAGTTGGTATTATCTGCCAAGGCTACCTATTTACAAGGTCTATGACTACTCAGGCTGGTAAATTTCCACAAAAGCTGCCTGTTTACAATAGCTTATAGCCATCTGTTTCAATGTTTTTCCACAGAGACTCAAGACTTGGTGTTAGTATACATGTATGACAGGCCTATTGCTGATTTTAGGCCTATGGCTGATTTTAGGCCTTCAGTGTGTAATCAGGGCTGCCCCTGACACCTCCTCCCTTCTCTAAGTATAGAAGGGCTGTGGCAATTCTAATCTTGGGAAGGCAGGGATAGAGGCCTGACCTCCAGTAATTGAAGGGGACATTGTAATAGCTCTGGTCCCCCTGTTGTTGTCCAGTGAGGCATGAGGGCCATACCCATCCTGATGTCTTTTTCCTGGAGAGGGGATACAAAAAGTTACTTATAAAGAGATAGCCAACAACAACAAAAAAAAACTGACTTCTCTATGGAGACTTCAATCAAAAGGATTCGGATCAGTATTATGCAGGGTTTGAAAGAACACAGATGTCAACCCAGTCAACCACAGAACAAAACTATCAATCATAATAGAAGGAGAGAGGAATGCTTTCCATAGTAAAAGCAGATTCAATTAATTTCTTAGCACTGAGCCAGCAGAAGATCTGGAAGGAATATTTAAGACTGATGGGAAGGTTAAACACACTCAAGATTTAATTAAAAGAGGTCTAATAAACCACTGAAAATCAACTAATTGCACATTGTTCATTTCAACTCCCCCTCCATTTCCACACTGACTTGTCTGTAGGGCAACCCCACGGATGCATTTTTCTTAGCTGAGGCTCCTCTTCCCAGATGAGTCCAGCATGTGTCAACCCGACAGGAAACTAAACAGCACACTGGCATTCCCTGACCAATTTGAAGGCTGCCGTTCCATGAAATTAATACACATTTTTCAATAATAACGATGAATATATACAGCCCTAATAAAAAGACAGACTAACACATTGGATTAGAAAACAGTGTCCATCTTTGTATAGCCTCATGAAGCACATCTTGCCATCTGCTAAATGTCACCTTAAGATAGCATGATGGATAGCGTGATGTGTTAGAAGAAAATGGAACCATGAAGCAAGCAGTCATAGATGTTCTAGTATCTGACAATATAGGCTTCGAAACCAAAATTACTCAGAAGGGCTGATTTGAAACACTCATTAAACAGAATATTGGCCAAGAAGATAGTTTAATTGTAAACATTCATGTGCTAAACATAGGGTATCCAAGTTTGTAAAAGAAACTTAAAATCACATATTGATCTTCACAGAGTGACAGTATCAGTCTCTCTGTCATTCATATAAATCTAAATAGAAAATCACTGGAGGCAAATAAAGCCACAAACCTAATGGGCTTAAGGTGTTTATAAACTATTCCACCCAAACACTAAAGAATATACTTTCGTCTCAGAAGCACATAGAAATTTCTCCAAAATTGAATACACACTAGGACAAAAAGCAACTCTCAACAGATTCATAGGAGAGTTGAAATGACCCTGTGCATCCTATCTGAGCACATAGATTGAAGCTAGCTAGCACTAACAACAGCAGACACAGCAGTAAGTATACAAACACATGGAAACTGGACACCTCACTACTGAATGGAAAGTCTTAACCAAGACAGAACCAAGAATGAGAAAGGAAACATTTTAGAATTGAATGAAAATAAAAATTAACATACCCAAATCTATGGAATCCATTGAAGGTGATTTTGTTTTTTGGGGTCTAGGTGTGTTTTGTTTTTATTGAAAATAGATTCTTCTCTCATACAACGCACACAACTGCACAGTAGTTCTTCCCTCTACACCTCCTAGCTCACCCCCCCCCGACACCTCCCTTTTCCCCATATCTACTCCCCTCCATTTCCACACTGACTTGTCTATAGGACAATTTCATGGATGCATTTTTCTCAACTGAGGCTCCTCTTCCTAGATGAGTCCAGCATGTGTCAACCCAACAGGAAACTAAACAGCACACTGGCATTCCCTGACCAATTGTATGAAAGAGGAAGAGTCTCTTCTTGACCCAGCAAATGTTTCCTGCTTGTCTCTTCCTGAGAAGAAGGCCTTGTGAGTATCCTAAGTTTGGGGAGTTTTCCTGGACTTGTGAGTCTCTGTGATCTGTCTAGGAGGGAATTTTTCAACTTGAAGGAAACAGCTATGCAGCAGTGCCCCATGATGCAATCTGTTGGTGTGAGGTACTTTCATAGAAGTTTGTACAGAACTGGTGGCCAGACTGTAAGTTGGAGTATCAAACCCACACAGCATCCTTTGAAGAAGAGCTTTATCCCTTGTACTTTCTGGGACCATCATTAATAGTCTTTAATTCACCTGAAATTGTATTTTTAAATCACTTATCCTTACAAGGTTCCCTAGTACTTTGGAAACAGTACCATTAGTGACCAGAGAAGACCCCTCTGCTGTTGGGAGTTAGCTGCTCTTACTGGTCACCTCCACTCTGCCCCGTAAGCTTAACCCAGATGAACATGGTCTCCTGACATCCTTCTTTCTCATTTTCCCCCTATGCTCACTGTTTCTGGGGAGCTTGTGGGCCATACTATAGAGGCACGCTTTGCAGATTCAGTGAATTGAGATAACATACTCTTTATGTAAACCAGTAGCAAGTATTTAAGAACCCTTTTTTAGACTCACCTTCAACCCACCCCACTCCTCACCCCCATCCCAGGTCTTGTGACTTGGGGCTAAGGTGGAAGATACTTAAGTGACACTATGATGCACAAATATATGATGGATACACAGGCAAGGCAGAATAGATGGTGGGGAGATGGGAGACAAAGAGAAGCAGAGCAGAACAGTTTGTGCATTGTGGAGAGAGGAGGAACTGGCAATGCTAAGATGCTGAAGAACACACCAATATGACGAGCCTGTGCAGCCACCTGAGGATATGTTTTTGTTTGTGCTGCAGCTGAGGACCATGTCTGGTCCATGGCCCTACCATAGCTGGAGTCTTTTTGATGCCATGGTCACTGAGGGACATTTAGAAGCTCTTTGTATGGGCTGTTGCCTGGGGCCATGTTTATGTCCAGGGGCC